AGACCCGGCTGTGGAACCTTTGGCTATTTCCTTTTTGTCCTTCCTTCCGTTCTTGATAAGACCTTGTTAGCAGAAATGCTGTGATAAATGTTCTAGGTATGACCTTGAGTCAAGACCATGGGTACTATTGTTGGTGAGACGGTGGGACTTTCTAAACAGAATCGCTTTTTAGTAGAGGAACAGAGATAGGGGTGGGAAGTGGTCTGCAGTAACTCCATTAATACTGACAGGCACTCTTGACAACAGCATTCCCAGCAATTCGGAGGAGGAATTTTGCTTTCAAGCAGCACTCCTCCTTTTAGCTGCAAGATATGCCCCATCCCATGCAGGGTCCTGCTCTCAAGGTCTGAGTGTGTGATACTAGGCTAGCCTGCATTATTAATCCCTTTAGCAGACAGAAGATTTGGAGGGGCTTCCACTCAGCCACCTTCTCTTTACAGTGAAACCATTATGCACTGAAGCCAGGCTGTTAATTTGAGGCTGTAGCATGACTTTGGTGTGTGTGAAATGTACATGCACATATGGAGACTTACTCAATAGTATGGCCAAAGGAATGTATAGTTTTTGGGGTTCCCAAAGATATATCACCATCAAACTGTAAGATAAAGATGCACACAGACACCTTTCAGCCTATACTCCTGCAAGATCTCATCTTTAAGCAGGGGTGTCTGGCTCTTCTCAGCCAGGAAATGAGCTGTCAAAAAGCTCTAAGTGACCACATACTAACACCTGGACTCCTCTTCGAGTGCTTGAAAGAGAGACCAGATGAAGCTTCTGCGACTCCATTCAGAGCACTCCTCCCTCTCTGCATTGGAGTGGCCATAAACCATCTTCTTTATTCTTTTAATTTACAGCCAAAGCCATGCTCTGTGGTAAATATAATGTCAGACTCCAGGCACTGTGGAGCGTATTTCAAAATGTCTGGCTTCTGTATGTACTTAAATGCTACTTTGAAAATATTCCGTGAACCAGCAGAGCCGTGCATGCTTGCCTCCCTCAGTAGCATCTGTAGTGCGCATGTCGTGTAAACATGTTGCTTACTGCTGTTTCATAGCATGCAGGCTACTATGAACAAAACCCTCATCCATGAATTCTTTCATATGCGTTCGTGATGCACATGAAATGTCCTGCATTTCCAAATCAGGCTCAAATGCTTGTTGTCTCCTGGGTTGAAAAGATGGAAATAGGAACACTTTGGACTGTGAATGAACAAATGGCTTTCGAGATCCTTATCATCAAGTAAGGAATAAAGATGTGTCTTTGTATTTCCTGAAAATGCTTGTACGTTCAGCGCATTGGTTCATGAGAGGGTCTCGGAAGGAGGCCCTTGGAAAAGAAAGGGAGCCTTTCAGTACCTCTTCCCTCATTTCCTCCCTCTCCTGCTTTATACTCGTGAAGTGTCACTTTGCTATCGGACTTCAAGGCCTGATTGCCAAGGGTCGAGTGAACCTTCTTAGATCACTGGAAAAGAGACCGGAGTGAATGTAAAGAAAACTCAGCACAAAGTTAAGTGCTTGATTCCTCTGAAGTGCCCGATTTGTTTGATTTTCTTACACTAGTGTATGCTGACAGGTTAATTGAGCCTGTACATAAACATGCTTAGAGCACTGTACAGTGTATACTGTTGTATACTGTTGTTGTGGGTGTTGTTACCTCCCATGGGACGGTAATACTCACTCCAGGGTATTCAAGCCATAGAAATCAGAGTGCATTAGCTTTAAATGCCCACGCGAGTAAAGCCACACCCTCCCTTTTTATGGTCGATACAGAATGCCCTCCGATTTGTCTGTATTCAAATAAACAAACCCTAATTTGAGATTCAAATGCTTTCAACATCCAGACATGTGAGATAATTGAAAACCTTTTGTATCAAATATAAAATCGACAGACGCACGCCAAATAGCTTTTTTCCTTTTGTCTTTGAGCAAACCAGTCATTTTGTCAGGGATGCTGTGAAACAGACAGCTCAGTGGCAGCCCGTTATCATTGAATCAAATGTGACAGGAGGGAGGCAGAAACATCAGATCGAAATAACCCTCATTCTGAGCTCTGATGGGATGAGGGCTCTTTAAAGCGCAGGCCAAAGGGCCGCTCCGCTGGCCCTTCTTTGATGCTGTCATGTGACAGCGGCTTCTGCTTTCTGTCTTATCACTGTTTTTAGCTTACCTGTCAACTTGGAATTATTCTTAATGGAAAACGATGTCCACACACACACACACACATAAGTATATATATGTATATAACAATTTCAAAAGTGCCACCAAGCAAAGAATTCTTTGTGATATACTATATGAGGTCCAATAAGTTATTTGGAGTGTTATTGTTTCCTATAAAAGACAAGAGTTGCTTTTATCTAAAGGGGACAGGGTGATGTTTGCAGGGCAATTTTGGCACACGTTTCACTTAAGAGCTCTCCAAACAGCTTCTCTTGAGGTTGAGAAGGATGGCGAAGTGCTCCACTCAGGCCCCAGTAAGCACCCACCCTCCACTTTCTGCCCCCTCTCTACCCTGCCCCCATCCCCGCCCCTGTGCCCTGACCACTGCCCTGCTCACCCCTCCGCTCAGGGACAAAGGCTCACTTTCAAAGAAAAGGAGGAAAAAAGAGGAGCCCGGTGTCACAGAATTGCCTGTTTGCTGACGGAATCTTTAAAAGCAGCACCTCATAAATCAAAAGAGAGCATAATAGGCATTGTTTTTCCAAGAGCTACTTGTCCCACTTAAATTCCCCTCCTTTTCTCTCTTTTCTCCTTTCCTGCCTTTTCCCCTCCGGCTTCTTTGGCAGAGAGAGTGGGCAAAGTCTGAGGTGGAGATTTTTTATTAGGGGGGCCCTCTTCTTGTGGATTTGGCGCCTTTTAGGGGTTTCCTCGCCACTTTCTGACCATCCCCTAGTTTTATGCTCCTTCAACCCCCAACACTTGATTTTTTTTTAGGATTCCCTGAGCTTGGATCAGCATAATCTATCACTATGCACATTGTAACTCAGGCCTCCTCCCTATCTCCATGCCACATTGTCGTGTTGAAATCGGATTAGCTCGGGAGCCATTTGCCTCTTCTGTTTGGCTCTGAACTCTTTTTGTATGTTAGCACAAGGAATGACAAAAAGCTTGCAGGCAGTATCACCATTGTGCATCGAGAGAATGAAGAATGGCATGCAGTTTGACTCAAGCATGTTTGGTTTATACTCCTTGAGGAGATTCAAGAGGTGCTTTTCAAAAACGTAGCGTGTGTTCATGTGCTGTTTGCATTTATACATCCAGAAATGGCTTGCTGGCGTGCACGTTCTGATTTCAACAGGCTATTAATGTTTGGAAATAAGCTCACTTTTCCCTCTCGTTTGCTCCGTTCACTCGACTGATGTGTCAGTAATCAAGATGATATCATCATAATTAGATCACAAGCACTGCATTAAGATTACACAAATGCCAACAACATTTCCATGAGACATTTTAGTGATTACCCAACATTACCCTGGGTATTTTTTTTCCCCTCCCCACTTTTCAACCTCGTGCGCACTGATATGTGCATTGACGACAGAGAGCTGATGTTACATGAATTAACCACGAGCTAAATGGACATGAACTAGATTCCAGCCTTTAGAGTATATTCCTGAGGAGCAGATGGAGGTCTGGGAACGAATCAAGCATTACAAATATCTAAATGTACCGAATGTCTTCAGCCTTTGTCACCTGTAAACATATTGTGTAGGATTACAAAGTGTTTGAATGGGATCTGCTACCATAGTACTGTCTACACAATGGGCTATTAGTGTTCTGGCCTTAACAACAAAGGCGAGCTTCAGGCTACAACAGCCTAACAGGAACCTTATCTGTGAGAGTGTTTTCCCTGATAGATCAATGCCCTCAGTTATCTCTCCCTTCCTTTGAATGATTTCAACTGCTTTTTCTTCATTCTTTGTTGGGATGTTTTATGTCTTGAATTTCAGCCCATTTTGTGTGTGTGTAACAGTCCTTTGAATCCTTTCCATCCAGCAAAAAACAGAAACATATTTGATCTCACGTACATTACACAGGCTACTTTTTCTCCCGGTCTGGGGGCCAAACAGCGAAAAGCGATCCACATCCCAATGTCAGTCAAACCGCTCTTATCGCCTCCACCATAATCTAGACTCTGAGTTTGGCCACTAGTTCTGAAATCCGATGCGGAGAGAGCAGAGTGCGTTCACTTTTCCTTCAAAACCAGTTGTTCCCATGTACCTCTTGATTATATGTCTGCATGTAACATATATGTTTAAAGCCCATTTGCCAGTTTTCGCACAAAACCAAAGCCATTCTTGTCAAAAAAAACCTTTCTGAAACAAACATCATCATCTTTCTGTGGTGCTGCATTTACTGGGGGTCCAGTAGGGTGGTAGAGAACCGTGGCCATCTATACCTGAATCAGCAAGGCAAATTTTTTGTGCCTGTTTGCTCCATTGGGCATATCAAGAGATTTTGATTAAATGTGACCACTTTGAAACATATCCAGCAGTGAGGTTTGGGGAAAAGCAACTCAGGGAAGACACATCAGATAATGGAATCTGCACATGCTGTGAGTTAATTTGGAAAGAAAATACACTGTAAGGCTCATCAGAATTATTCACAATGAAATGAAATGAAATCTTGCCCCTTCTAGGTGATCTGGGTGTTGCATTTGTCTTCTCAACCATGCAAGTCTGTGCAAGGCTTAGAAAACCTAATATGGTTAACGAGAGGATTGGTCACATTTAGAAATTCCTCTAGTTGTTTGATTCTGGAGTAAATAAAGGTTTTCTGTTTTTTCTCAGAAGTGAGATATCTCATGAGTGAGTGAGCTTGTTGATGTTGGAGAGCTGCCTGCACTAATAGGTTTTCAAGCCCTATAATAAGGCTTTACAGGCTTAGTGAGTCATTGATTGCAGAGCACAGTACACTCCATCAACTTGATTACATTATGCAAGAACTTACTGCATCTTACCCTTCTCCTAACCTTCTTTTTGGGCCTGCTTTCTTTTTTCTCTGCAGGGAGCTGATGCCCAAGACCCTGGAGGGCCAAATCACAATGGAGAAAACTCCCAGCTACTTTGTGACCAGGGAAGCTCCTGCCCGAATCTCCGCCATGTCCCGGAACACCAAGCTGATCGTCGTAGTGAGGGATCCTGTCACTAGAGCTATCTCCGACTACACACAGACACTGTCTAAGAAGCCTGACATTCCCTCGTTTGAGAGCCTCACCTTTAAAAACAGGACTACAGGGCTCATTGACACGTCATGGAGCGCCATCCAGATTGGCATCTACGCCAAGCACCTGGACAACTGGCTGCAGTACTTCCCCATGGAGCAGATCCTGTTTGTGAGCGGCGAGCGTTTGATCAGCGACCCAGCTGGAGAGCTGGGCCGTGTGCAAGACTTTCTCGGGCTCAAGAGGATCATCACAGACAAACATTTTTATTTCAACCAGACCAAGGGATTCCCGTGCCTGAAGAAAGCAGAAGGCAGCAGCAAGCCCCACTGCCTTGGAAAAACCAAAGGGCGAACCCATCCAAACATTGACCCTGAGGTGGTGCAGAGACTACGAGACTTCTACAGGCCCTTCAACATGAAGTTCTACCAGATGACAGGACATAACTTTGGCTGGGATTGATGTGAAAATGACTTTTTTTTTTTAATTTTTTGAGAAGTTGTCTTTTTTCCTCTGTAATTCAAAGGCAAGATGTGGAGATATTGTTATGTATATGTAAAATGTACAGAAAATCTATTTTATAATAATTTATTTTTATTTCTAAGCAATTAATTCACTAAGCTGCCTAACCATATTTGTACATAACATCTGACCCACGTGTTGTTTTTAACATTCCTCGTTTTTATTTTGAATTCTCATGCTCCTCCCTTGTGGTCCTGTAAACTCAGTGGATTTACTGGTGCTTCATAATGCAGATAATCAGCGAAGATTGAAGCAGAAACTAGGGCGGAAAGTGTAGAGGCACCATATTACGGGTACAGAGTGCTCACAGAGAAGTGGAGAATCTTCATGTATACTTACATCACACACTTTACCTTCATCCTCTTCATACCCTTTCTCAAAGCCATTCTTTTTTAAGGTGTTTCACATCCTTCTAGGTTTTTCATGGTGCAATTTTCCTGCTCTGTCATTGACCCTAAGCAGCACATCTCTTGTCCCATTCCACTCAATAACAGGTAGATCAATAGACCTAATTGATACTCATCGTGTCACTCATGCTTAAAGTATACAGCTGCCCTTTCATTCTCAGTGCTCCTGCTGCCTGCTCTAATGAATGGCCCATCCATCAAATGTTAAATCCTATCCCGGACCACATAAGGGCCCATGTTAACGTTATGCTAATCAAGTAAAGGTAACTGGCAGATCGATCGAGCCTCTGCTCTCTAGCTCCACATTTGAAGTAGTGTTGGCTGGTAGCCAGGCTTTTGCCCTATCTACTCAGTTCAAAGGTCACACAAAGTCTCAATCAAATTTCCTTGAGAGGCATTTGATTTGTTGAGGAAAAGAGGAGTTGGTGCACAGCGGGTCACAGGGACAGCGCGTCCTATTTTCTTTTCTTCTTCTTTGCGTGAGGTAGCAGAGGCATATCTGCCTGAAATCGAGCATAAAGATAGAAAAGATGACAGAGAGACGACGGCAAGGTTTCGCCTCACTGAAATGGCACTTCTTCAAACAGAAGTCCACCAGGCCCCATCTTAGATCCCAGACTAAACAGATCAAAGGAACAGGAAAGGTTTTTGTGAAGCACTCATAGCACAGCAAGAATTGCCTCAGGCAGGGTTTCGGTGTCTAACCTCTTGTGTCATCAGAAAACCTCATGTGCCATCATCCATGGCCGTTATACTTTATGCCTTATTCACTCTTCTCAAGTCTCATCTCTTCAATCTTAACACTCGTTGCCAAAAAAAACTTCATGTCGATATCATGTTTCACACGGCTTAGTCGCGATCTGCTTTTGTCCCCGGCATTGCTTCTTAGTTTTTGTCTTTCTACTTGAATTCTTGATATGCAAGAGTGAGAAAATGTGTGGTGATCATCTTTGAAGTGATGTCTTTGCAGCGGATGGTGCACCATCATAAGGGCACGGGGCTGCTTTCACGCTATGCTACGCTACGCTGTGCTATACTAAGCTATGCATGCTCGGTGTGGCATCAGTTATGAAAATGCAGGCATGATGGAAATTAATTATTAGCGCCCAGAGAAGGGTTTTAATGCATTTATGCAGAGCTCAGACTGAATGTAGACAACCTATCCACACAAGAAAACTCATTCAAGTCAGACTGCCATTTAGTGAAAAGTCAAATCTGATTGTCCTTATTAAAATAAGAAAATGTTGTGCCTCTTCAACTGTTGGATCCAACACAGTTAGCCTGCTTGCGTTAAAACAGGCAACCACTTATTCTGCTATTTCTCTTATTTTCCATTTGAAACCAGCTACCTGGTTTCACCTCAAACCAATGGTTGCTAGCAGGGGTGATTGAGGCTTGCTTTTATTCTGCCTGAGCGATGGTACTCCTAGTGAGAACGTGTTTGAAGAAAGCCTTCATCGCCTCTTCTCTCCTTAGTGCAATGTTTGATTATTAAAAGCATTTATGGTGACCTCTTTCAGCAAGCTGTCACGTTGTTGAAGAAAAGTCGGACATTTTCCTGTAAGCTGATGGGAGTACTGCATTTGACTTCTGTTCATTTTTACTGAGGGGATATCTGAAAAAAAAAAAGAAACAAGAAAAAAATAAAATAAAACCCTTGCACCCATGGGTTTACTCCCATGTTGCTGCATCTGTTATGGTTGAGTTTTATTCAGCCTGTTTTCAGATCTAAAAATGTTAGAAATGTTTGTCTTATCCACATATTATATGTATTTAGTCTAGCAGATCTGTATGTACAAAAATGAAAAAGACATGTAAATCAAGTATTTTGTGGTATGTACATCAAAGGAATTAATTTTACACAATGCAAGAGCAACATGGAGCAGATGTTTCTAGATGATTAAATACTGAACATTCATAATATTTCTTTGTATGAAGAAATAAATAAAAAAATATATATTTTACCAAATCTTCTGGTGCTTGACTTGTATCCTTGATTCTATTCGAGGACTACACCATCTGCATACAGTACTCTCATGAATACTGCATATTCTATTACATACTACATCTTTTCCATCAAGTGGTTTTATCTGTGTATATAGTTTTAAATAGAGTAATTCACCAAGCTATGTTATTTGTTTAGTATTTTCAGTGGCATGAGGTCAGACAAGACAAGCAAAGTGGAAAAGAAATTAGGAAAACAGCATCAAAAAAGGCATAGTAGGTACACTAAAACAGATTTTATGGTTAAATGTCCTTTTAAAGTTTAACTGCTTTATTTTTACAGTTTCTTTTTCACGAGTCAGCTTCAGCCAGTCATGATATGTTCTAAGTATATGGCTTAGCTAGCTACACTTGTGAAAACTCAAAGTCAACTTTGTTGTCAGTTCTGTAATATGTAACTTACACAGGATTGTAATGTCGTTTCCATGTGCAACTAGAACGAATAAAAAAATAAGAAAACAGAGCACTGCAAGAATATGAGGTATAGCTATAAGAGATCAACACATGAATATGAATTACACAAAATATATTAAAGCCTCTTTATTAAATTATTGCTGTCTATGTATAAAAATTGGAGGTGTACAGGCATGCTCAAAGTTACATTCATTACTGCAATTCTTTGTATAGAAATACAGAGTATAAATGAAATGGTTTCTTTGTTTAGAATGGCCTGACTATGTGATGGCATTCATAAGAAGTTATTTCCTGTACAGCCGCAAACACAACACACTGCCTGCTATTACTATACAGCAATGTAAACAACCTGCAGATGCTCTTCAGTTCTTTGTGTAAGATGTTCTTGAGAATATTTTAAACAAACTGCGCGGGGATAAATCCAGGCATTTTAAGATGTAGTGAGGACAAGCCTCCTGGTGTGACTCCTACTTTATATTCTTCAAATTCTTCAAAATAAAGTCTGTAGTGCATATTTAGAGTAACCACACATACCAGATTTTTAAAAGAATATTCACATCTGTTCAGCTTTACTTTATGTGGTGAAAGGAGATATTTCATATTTGCAGTTTCTGTGAACTGACCCTTTAATTTAATGGCGCCACTTTGAGTTTTGGTACCCCACAACAACTGCCAGCAGACATCAGGTGGCCATTTTCTAAAAAGTATATGAAACACACTTTTAATAATGCAGGACTTTATTATCAAGCTATTCCCCTAACAGTTATGCTGCTTCATGGAGAGTTTGTGGAAGGAATGAGCGCATTTGTTAGTTACTGGCTTTCTTGGGCTTCCATATAGATCGGCTTTGGACCGGAAGTAGCTGTTGTCCGGTCATAATATTGCAGCTTTGGATCAGGATGCAAAAATGCGTAATTTGCTGAAAAGTCAAAGACCGATGCTTCACGTCTCTTAGGTAGGTCATTCATGCATGTTTCTAGTTGAACGAGTTTCGCTACCGCATGGATGCAATGCGTGGATGTTGTTTGTGGATTCTTTTTAGCTTACGGCAATGTCGTTTTAAATAGACTAAACAGAATAGACGTCTACAATTGCACTCAGCTCTTTGGCATTTTACCGAAATGTAAACGTTTGATGAGAAACTCACTTTATCTTGTCCCGTGCATGGTAGATATAAACTAAACGTAACACAAATAGTGTTAAACTCCAGTGGCATTACTTTATTATTCTTCATTCGTGTTAGATGCTTAATTGTAAACTCTGGGCTTGTCCTCTACTTCTTATCAGCACTTTGTTTGCTTCAGACAATTATACTTATGAATGTAAAATACAGAAAAACTGCTGCTGCTCTTATACTTCATAGAATGGAAGGTCCGCCTGTCTATGTGGAATACATATCATATTCCAGTGTTTTAGTGATGGCAAGCCTTATGATTAAGAGATAAAGTAGATGGTAAATTACCTGCACTTTTACAGTTCTGTACCTTCTAACCTGCCAAGCTCTCTGTAATGTTTTTCATTCACTCATTTACACACGTGCAAAAAAAGGTGCTGCCCTGCAATCAGGAGCTACTTGGGGTGAGGTGTCTAGGCCAAAAACACTATTGCACGTGCAGAGGTTACAGATTTAACCACTAACTTTCTCTCACGCATCAGATATGAAGGCAGGAAAACATCTGTACCACAGTACATACCCCTAATGCTTTCAGTAGATTCTGTATTCAAACTAGTTTTGTCAGGGAGCTTATAACTGTCTTCATTCTCTGCTGTGTGCTTGCTTTGTATTTTTTGTTCCGTGTATTCATATATCAATTACTTTATAATTTTATTTACTTAATCGCCCATGTTTAAATATGAATTTAAGCCTAATAGGAGTACAAAGTACATCAAAATCCTAGTTACATTTCAGTGCACAGCATGGGCAAGGGCTGTTTCTTAGTGCCTTTTAATTCTTATTTACTCTTCCTATAAAACACACAAAAACTGAAATAAGGACTTATCAAATTCACTGATTGCATTTGGTGTGAGACACAGTGTTGTAGGATGATTTTCTGTGAAAGGGGTGGGAAAGTGGGGTAGGGTGGATGCGGGGAGTGGGGCATCCTGGCAAATTCTTTCTTTTTCTGTTTCCTTCTCAGCGTGGTGCTGTGGTTATAGAAGTGGGGGGCATGTGTGGTTTCATGTGACCCATAGCTGTGTGGGAGGTTTGGCTGCTGGTAGCGGTGGGTCTGCTTGCCTTATCGGAAATGCCCTTTCTCCCTACCCACACCCTCACTCCCTGTAAAAGCAGGCAGTGTTTCCTCACGGCTCATAATGAGATATACCTCCAGGGCAGTTTATTTACAAGGCTGTGAAGTACCTCCTTGTATCAACGGGGCTCTCATTCACAATATCAGAGGTGATGTATTTACATACCTGTCCAGAGGAAAGGAATGTGGCATCTGTGGCAAACTGTTACTGAATTTACTTGGTCTTCCAAAATTTTCACAATGTATAAGCCTCTATATATTCCGACCATATAGTGCAAGCAAAGCAAATTGTGCCATCACCAAGCGGTTTGTGAGGCCATTATCTTAAGACTTTTGGACCATCACTTTTTTGGAGAGAAAAGAAAAGGGTAAATTGTCAGTAACAGTAGCAAGCTTGGATGCCCGCTAATTAGCGCCTGGAATGCAGACTTAATGGATGGATTTTCAGTTCCAATTAACCACACAGCAAGCCATGTTATTTATAAGGCAATCGTAACGAAAAATCTCCAAAGTGCATCCGCACAGATGTGGTGATGCCTAGATAGCTACCAACTATAGCTGTCTGTGTCACAGACAGTCAGCCTTATTGCAGTTAACCCATTAGAAACTTAAAAAAAATATGAACTAGTGAGTAGTAGTCATGGAAGACAAAATTTCCCTAAAGCAGGGGTAGGGAAATCCCAGCCTCGAAAGCCGGTGTCCTGAAGGTTTTAGATGTGTTGTTGATCCAACAACACATCTATAAATTACCTTATATAGGTAAGCACGTATTTAAATTGACGTTATTAGCAAGTAATATGAAATTGAAGATTATACCTCTGCAAAATACTGTTTTAGTTTAAAACAAATTAAACCAGTTACTTTTAGCATTGACCAAAATATGTAAGAAAATAAACAAGGAATTTAAATGGCTTTGCAAGTTAAATTGATAAAAAAAGATTCTCCGGCTTTGTGGCCAAATCTGAGATATTTAGCTTTATTTTACCACTACATTTTTAAAGTTAAAATTAGGTGTGAATCATTGTTTTCTCTTTGTGGTATCAGGGGTATAGATGCTCCATATATGACTGACACATCCTGTTATTTGTTGTGTTCCAGTTTGGTTGCTCAGCGCAACAAAGGACCCCTGCTGCAACACAATTAAAAACACTACTTATTCAAATATAGGAGCGTTAATACTTGGAAATATTTCAGTAAATTTACCAAAAAGCAACAGTAAATCTTAAGTCTGAATTCGTTCCACTGGTACAGCCTCAGATGGAAAAGAACATTTTTCAATGCAATTACACTTCCCATACCAATTTGTATTTGCTGAACACACCAAATGGGCCTCGTCATGATTTCCAGTCCCCCGAGGAACACGTGGGCTGTAATGAGTGGAACATAGCAGAAATCCCTGCCGAATGCTCGCTGTGATGTAGTGGCAAATAAAAAGGTGGGCAAGCAGTGTCTCTTTCCTGTCAGTCACAGACATCCTCTTGGGACGATAAAGACGGATATAAAAATGTGTATCGTGGGCGGTTCTGCATTACTTCAGTGTATAAAAACTTGGCTTTCAGTAAGACAAGTGAGGCCTTGTATTAGTTGGGTTATATATGAAGACTCATCCACAGATAAAAAAAATATTTGCGGTGGCTGAACTGACATTAATGTATGGCAGCGTGATGGTGTCCAACCAATGGTAAAGATGTGACTCAGACATTATTAGTCATAAATATCAGCTAATACCACTGTGGGAGTGGTGTATGCTTCTGGCATTGCGCTTCTATTAAGCCACCCAACCTCAATGGAAAACGTATCACATCAAGTAAACAGCAGTCCATGTCATATGATGGAGTACAAACAGAGCCATCAGTAAGCAATTGAAGCTAAGCAGCATGTGGTTTTCATACCAAGCCCATTTCCCTGTCCTGAAGCAGGTAGTGACTTGCTTCTCATCAGAAAATCATCGTTGATATTTACAAGTCTGGAGCTGGGTAATTGCTCAGCTGGAGCACTGAAAGACATGCTAGAGAGGAAGGCAAACAGGATGTGGTGTGAGTGACAGAAAAAAATACTTTGAAAAAGCCCCAGTCGGGCAGGTTTAAGTGGAGCATGTACTTTTGGCGTACACCCAGGTTGTCCCCTGAATCTAAGCCACCTGTATTAACTCGTGACTAACCTGATTAACCTGTTCATGGATCCGACTGATGCAGATACAAGAATGATAGATTTCTGGGCTAGCAGCCAAGCGAGCCATCTTGAAGGAAATGGTTTGTGTAATTAACGGAGAAGCTCAGCAGAATGACAGGGGGTAATTGTT